AAGCCTCATCCATGGTGGTAACCTCATAACCCTCCGTGGCAGCCTGCAGGGCATTGATGGGGTCGAGCTCAGTGATGATGACATGAGCTCCGAACCCTCACAGAGCCTTATCGACATCACCATAACCTGGTCAAAAACAGTGGAAGAGCACGTCCCAAACAAACTAGATTCCACTTTTGCATAATCTTAAATCACTATTATGTCTTATGTTCCATGTGGAAATTAAACCATCATCATCATCCACACTGACTTAAATTTAGAAGTGACACAACAAAATAATTGAGAAGACTAGTTAAATTGCCCCAAATCTTGCTGTTCATCATGTTCTCTCGTTCCCATGAAGTTTTTAAACGGTGATGAAATTAGATTTGAGACATTATTTTATTTTGAACGAGTATTAAATCAGCTGAGAAAAAAATACGACTTTACAGGCATATTTGGTTAATACTTCAGTAGAGACCGGCTTTCTAAATCAGATCAACAATAACGAGTGCTGATCTGATTTAGAAAGTACAACTTGTCTCCAGTAGGTCACTCATCCAACACTAACCTTTTCAGAGCACAATCATGCCATTGTGTTATTTATTGTGTTGCAGGTGTGTCTGTTAAACCTGGGGACAAGGGTTACATCTACTGGCACTAAACCCATTTGTTCTCCTAGTATAAAACCTTTGTATTTTTAAGGACACAGCCGGCTTGTTTAACATCTTCACAGCAGCATTAAAGTATTTCACATTGGCTGTTTTTTTGTGGATATATAATAAAAATGTTGCACCAGTTTTTTTCACCTCAAAGTTCATTCACCTTTTGGCTCACCTTTGCTTCCTTTAGCATCATTTTCTGAGATAAAATGAGATAAAGCTTCATTAATCCAGACGGAAATTCTTCCAAGTGTTAACTAACTGTTCACTTGTTGCACATATCAGAAGGTCAGATTGTACCCAGGTTTTTATCTGTGCAGGTATTTATTTTTTGCTTTCCTTTTTGCTGTTGTTGTGTGGATTAAACAATAATTTTTTGAGAATCCTGCTTTGGTAAAATGAGATGGATGTTGAGTATACGGTTGCTTTGTTTAGACTAATATTGCAGTTTAGTCATACAGTGTGTAAAGGATGTTCTTAAATTCTGTGAATAGTGCTGTTAAGAGTCACCTGACCCAGGAAACAAAAGTGAGAAAACTAACAGTCTTTTTTTTAAAGGCATCTAAATAAAGACATTTCACAGTTTAACATGATGAATATTTATGTACTGTTCATCACATTGCTGTGCAGTTTCTAGTGTTTCTGGTAAACTTGGGTAAGATATCCCCCTTAAGAACAATGCCTATTTTCTTTTAAAATATACATATTTTGAAAATGAATATAATGTGTACACAAGAGGTATGCCTAAATGAACACATACAGCTTTATTTTTAAATATTGGAGTCTATCCCAGCTGACTCAGGGTGAAGGCAGGGGACAGCCTGGACAGGTCACCAGTGCATCGCAGGGCTACACTTAGAGACAGACAACCAAGCACACTCACATTCACACCTACGGACAATTTAGAATCACCAATTAACCTCAACATGTTTTTGGACTGTGTGGGAGGAAGTCAGAGAACCCACGCTGCACAGGGAGAACATGCAAACTCCATGCAGAATGATCCCGGCTGTCCTCACCGGGACTCGAACACGTGACCTTCTTGCTGTGAGGCAACGGTGCTAACCACCGCTCCACCTTGCAGCTCACTACTGCAAAGGCTTTATGTCCTTTACCTCTTGAGGTAGAGTTGAAGTGAAACAGTTCAGAAACACACCCAGGTGCCAACCCATGCATGGCTTTATAAACAAATAGAAGAACTCTTATACATAATTCTCTGTTCAACACGTGGTCAGCATAGGGATACATTGACTTTTTTTGGTACCAGTTTGAAGTCTTGCAGCATGTGATATAGAGGAGAGGCTGATAAGCAGGTATGGAGAGTTACAGTGATCCAACCTTGAGGAAATGAGCCCAGTGGTCACAGTCTCCATGTCACTTGGACGGAGGGCAGATTTTAATTTAGCAACGATCCTCACTTGGAAGTAACTCCTCGTTACCACAGAGTTCATGTGTTTAGCAAGAGCCAAAGACGACACCAAGATTCCTGGCGTGGGGATGTGGATCTGCTGTCAGAGGGTCTAAGTGGCTGCTGATGGTTGTTATTTTGTTGGGATACACAAACACAACAACCTCCGTCTCATTTTCACTCAGCTGTAGCCAGTTTTAGGCCTTCCAACCACTTCACTTCCTGGACGTAAACTAAAATGGGCTGGTTAGCTGTTATATTATACTATCTGATGATGCTGAGCATAATTACTAGAAGTCTAATATTAGCAAGGCTGTATATTAAAAATCATTGATATCCACAAAGGGGGGCTTTTTACCCCACATCAGGGGAGGCGTCTTTACTCAAAAGTCCTACTCTGACACTTTCACTTATTACAAATAATAATGCTTATTTGTTTTTGTCTTTGCTCTAACTGTACAAATGCACAACCCTCTTTAAGACGCTGATGAAAAGTTGAAAAAAAAAAAAGAAAAGGCTCAGAAGCTTATTTTGTTTTGTCAAAACGTTATGCAACGCAGCACAAAGCACTTCCTCCCACGAGTGAATTGATTTTATTTTCTACGTAAAGGTCAACAGGGCTACTATCATCCTAGAGGAGACCTGGATGACAGCTGACTGAATTCATGAATGGAAACAACGTGTTTGCTCAGAAAGAAGCGAAATTCACGGGACTCCCCAGAACAATCACTGGATTTATACATTTTACTCGTAATGTAACAAAAATAAATAAATAAATAAATAAAAAATTAAAGTAAAGCATGTTTCCTGGTGTCATCGCCAAGGGGCGACATAGTTCCCCACAATATGTCCCTTTCCCTCTGGCGTTGTCCTGCGCTGGTCCCGGTGTTGGTGACGTCACTAACGGGACCGGCGATCAAATTGACGAAAATATCATCATCACACCGGAAATCAAAGAATGCTCCTTCAAAGTTATAGCTTTGCATCCTTTTTTTTTTTTTTTTAGAACGCTTCAATGGAACAAATTTCAACGGGGAATGTAAATTTCACAACTCAGGAGAAGATAGAAAGAATCTTAAAATAAGTTTCTACAAACATGAATAAATAATAATGATAAATAATAAGCAAACATAAAATAAAGTTATTAAATAAAATACTAGAAGGTGAATACATGAAGCAGCACAATGATGTACATATGTAAATATGTTGTGCTTTTGAACTGTTAGTTGCACAAATCAAGACATTTCAAAACATAAACTTAAGCTTGAGGAATTTGTAGCTGACATGCTACGCTGTTTTTGAGTATTTCAGAGTAGATTCAACTTTAGTGCATAGCAAAGAGTGCATGTACAAAGACAACAAAATGCAATTTAGCATCAAACCAGAAGTGCAGCAGCAACAGCAGCAGAAAAGTACATTCTATACAGTATGGGCACACAACTTGTTACAGTATGAATTTAAAGAATAAGGGCTTTTGAGAAAATAAATCAAAAATACAGGACATGAAATACACTATGGCTCTTTGGAGGAGCTTAGAGTTTTCATTACTGCAACGTTGTCATCATCTGCCGAAACCTAATTGCATGCCTCAGGTTAAAGCTCAGTTGCACCGTTTTATATACTCTACAGCTGCTTTCATGTGGATCAAACAGTCATAACATATGTCTTCTGTGAAAATTTAGCCTCATCTCAGTTTATAGTGTAGTCTGGCCTGTCATTTAGGATGATTATAGACAATACTATGGTGTTTTTTCCCCCCAATGTTTAGGCTCTGACACGTCTAATATCCTTGTTTAGACTGTAATAAATATGATTTATGGATGACTGTAATATGTTAAATAATGAAATGGTTTCTTTTGCAATTATTTTGCAGGCTATGATATTTAAAATATAATCCTCATGAATGAAATCGGTCATTTCCATCACATGGTAGGGGATGCACTCACCATTTGGCAAGTGTTAAACTGCATTATAAGATTTGAACAGGTAATTTCAGCAGGTGAAACGTCTAGAATTATCATAAATTAAGCCACAGAGCAGTTAAAATTAAGCAAGAATTTACTGAGAGTATTCCAACCTTGAGAAAATGAATGTAGTGGTGGCAGTCTTCATGTCATTCATACGGAGGATAGATTTCAACTTAGCAATGTCCCTTGCTTGGAGGCCGCCCCTCTTTACCACAGAGTCAGTCTGTCAAATTTCATTCCTGACTCTAAGATGACACCAAGATTCCTGGCGTGGGGATGCAGATCTGCTGTCAAAGGGTCTAAGTGGCTGCTGATGGTTGTTATTTTGTTGGGATGCACAAACACAACCACATCCGTCTTACTGAAGCCAATTTTTAGCCTTCCAGCTCTTCACCTCTTGCACGTTGTTTAAAATAAGTACTATGTGTATATATAATAATATTTAAAAATCATCGATATCCATAAAGGGGGCTTCTTACCCCACATCAAGGGAGACGTCTTTACTCAAAAGTCCTACTCTTATATGTCTGTGAAGATTCTCAGTCATCCAGGTGGTGGTTATTTGGCTCCTAAAGAATATAAGTATGTAGAACTCCCAAGTCGTAAGTCAGAACTGATGAAGTCTCTTGGATGAGAGGTGAAACATATTCAAGAAACTCAAGCAAGTCCAGTTGCTATGATTAAACTATGAGAATAATCCTACTCTTACACTTTCACATATTACAAATAATGATATTTATTTATTCTTTCTTTTTGTACTAATTGTACTAATTGACAACCCTCTATACTACCCTCGTGAAAATGTAGGCAAAAAACAAAACAAAACAAAACAAAACAGAACAAACAAAAAAAATTCTGTATATTCTTTAGACTTTATTGTGTAACATGCCGACAACAGCTGTCTGCCACCCAAACGTTTGCTTTATTTTGAAGGTCACTAACGGAAGCGGGTAATTCCCCGCGAGTAGCTTGACAGCAGTGATTGAGGTGGAGGCAGTCAGCCTGCGACGGAAAAACAAGCGAGCACAGGTCGAGCAGAACACGCTCAGTCCATGTTTTAGAGGAAAAAGAAAACACCGTGAAACCGGAGGCTATGTGGATGTAAGCGGTCCTTCGGTCGCCTTCAGCCGGACTCAGTTGCTCACTGTTTCGGGTTGTCGTTTCGAGCGTGTCGCTGTTTGCCCGATTCTCAGCGGAGTGAACACTAAGGTAAGCTGGAACCAGCAAAATGAACTGTGTTAAGTTGTAGCGGCCACTTTGCCCGCTCCACCGCTGTTCAAACCTCGTTTTTTGGTCTTATTCACTCCTTAAAAACACGTGAAAAAATCTGGGTAAAAGTTGGAGGTTGAATAACGGCCGCTTTCTCGTGTCACTTTCTACATTAGTGTCTGGGTCTTTGTCCACTCACAGGAGCTTTAACTAGACGCTGCGCTCGGTTGGTGACCAGTTCAATATCACACTCTTTTTTTATTTTATTTTCACTGCTAAATAATTCACCTTTACAACTCAACTAAATGGTTTCAATTCAGCCACTTTAGCATTTATGTTTTCTCGCATTTTCCACACGGAGCCACTTCTTGCAGGCCTGTGAGGCTACTACAGCTCTTTAGACATCTCTGTTTTCTCTGGCATCTGTTCTGTTTGAGCACATTCTCCTCCATTTCTTTTCTTTATTTTATTACCTAAAAGCACATTTGTTTTTCTTTAATTTTTTATTTTTGATCTATTTGCTTCATTATTGTCCCGGTGCCAGAGCTCCTGTTTTTTAAAATAGCTCAACACAATGAAGCACATTTGCCAAAACACACCATAGATTGGCGACTGGTGCCACATGCCGAGCTTGTCAATGTGTCTAGTGGCTTTTCACGGTAACTGCACCGTGGATCCTCCTCATCAGCCCCTCCACATAATGGCAGGCATTGTCTTTTCTTGCTTGTTTTGTGGTACTTGCAATGCTGCCTCTCCATGATTTTTAATTTTTTTTACCCAAGAGACAGGCAGTAATCCACCCACAGTGTGTTGATGGAGGTTTACTTTAAGGCTCAGCAGTTTTTAAATGCAGGTACACTTTAATGGCACACCTTTTTCTGCAGACACACCCTCAGCTCAGACTAGAGCAAGGTTCGCTCAGCAATGACAGGTATGTGGAAGGCAAGTGCAATAATATACTGCCAGGCCTGTATTACAGAAACTTCCTTTTTCGCTTACGTCACGTCTTCAAATACGAGCTTTGCATTTTCTGCATTTTCGAAACCAGGCTGAAAACAAGAAAGGTAGCTGCATACTGGTGCTTAAATCAGCTTCGTTATAGCAGGGAAATATTTTATATTACAGCCCACTGCATTAATTTCAAATCAAAATTGTGATTTTTTTTTTCTTCTTTGCGATATTGTTCGTTAAGCTTCACCTTCAATGTTCACTGAGTGGTTTACAACATGTGATGGAGCATTAGCACACGTGACATTATCAAAAGCGTGACTACCACACAAGGAGGATGGCATGAACTTGTCCAACCATGAAAAATGAAACCCCAAGTCAGCAGCATGACATCTATCTTATTCTGACTCACCAGATGTAGACTGCGGGTGTAAGTCTGCCACTGGCGATGCATTTCTTGCAGCTTTCTCCTCTTCTTTCCCCGTTTGTATTAATTTTAAAAATCCCTTTCAGTGCAGAAAACAACAACAACCACCTCCGAGCTAGCCACCTACCACACTAAAAATGTCGAGTTGTATCGAGGATTTGGATGATCTAGTAAGGAAAGTCATTAATGACACTTCTTGCCTCACCGAGTGCAAATATTTCACCAAAACACTTCTCCTGACATTATTTCAAGTTGACACCATTGCTGCTTCCTTTGCTTAGCTCTGCCCAGTATGATTGGGAGTAGTTTAAAGAATAAAAAAAACAAGCTTTATTTCCCGCAATAGCAGACTAATAATGAGGAGCAGCCAGACCATTCTGCCAGACTATTTATATCCCAAATTGCAGCCTTGGTGATTTGATAATTACAGTGTTTCCAACTGCCAGTTCAATTCAAACTCAAATAGTTGTTGAGCAGTAGTTTAAACAGCAGATCAGATTTGCTGCAAAATGTACGAGGTGTGGCCAATAATAAACAAGTCTGGGCTTATGTCAGACCAACCACAGCATGCATGCCTGAACTCAGTAGTACACCTTGATCAATGGGCAAGTATAAACAACCAGTGAAAGTTCAATCGGCTCCAACTGAGTAAAATTGGACTAATTATTTAGTAGCTACACCGCGTGTATCATACATTACAGTCTTTGCTAATTGCCTTGAAAATTAATAATTGGTTAACCCTACTGCAAACTTAAATTTCTTTTAAAATTGTAATTTCACATTTTAAGTAGCATGTAGAATGAGCGTTCAACCCTGTAGTTGTGCTAAGACAGTAAGCTGCTTGACAGAAAACTAATCAGCAACAATTATTGTTGAAGTTATTGTTGAAGTCTTTGTTTTTCAATCAAAAAGAGAAGAGATGTGTCTGGTTCTTACTTTTCACAGTGACTGCTGTTTTTTTTCTATGACATAAAGCAGAATGCTGTTGATCAATATGAACGTGTAAACTGTAAATTATTCGGGAAAGTAATATACAGTCGTGACTTGATAATCCGACCCTTAACAATCCGAAAACCATGCTATCCAACAGGTTTTCAGGAAAAAATAACGGAACCTATTAAAAATAGCCTTAACATACCGACAGCCTTGGATTCAGACTCTGACATGACATTTTATGACACAAATAAGGATAACAGACTTAAGAATCTGACAGATTGGCTACGTTCAGACTGCAGGACTTAATGCTCAATTCAAATTTTTTGTGAAATTGGATTTTTTTGCGAGTTCATTCACATTTCCAAATAAATATGACTTGTATGTGATCTGCTGTGTGAACTCCATACGACCCAAAAGTGTCCTGCATGCGCAGAAGAGGACACGATGATGTCACACGCAGCGAGCGTGCTCAGTGTTTACGGAAGTAAACACGGATGATGGCTCTACCGCTGCTGATGGTGGAAACAGAAGTGTGAACACTATCCTAAACTAGCATCAGCAGTTAAGTACTGCCTGTGCGTTCCGGCCACCTCCACCCCATCAAAGTGCACCTCCGGGATTGGAAGCGCCCCCCCTGACCGCGCAGAATATTTGGATATTCATCATTGATTGGGCCTGAATATCCAGAGACCAGAAAGTGCTATTGGGACCAGCCCTACTACTTATTATAACAACTATGAATGATAATTAACAACAAATGATCCTCAAAGCATCAAGTCCTCCTTGTATCTCAACCTCCGTCTTGACAATCCGACAGCCTTGCTATCTGACATAAAAGAAGGTTTTATATTGAGTGTTGGATTATCGAGTCACGACTGTAATTGATCGTGTAAACGGCTGCAGCCCTGCTCTGTATTTGACATCAAGATTGGTAGAATATATTTCCTGATATTTGAGTTAAAGTGAGCAAAGCACATGATGTTGCGCTGCCACGGTTTGATGCTGATGTCAAGCGCAGCGTGCATGCTGATATCTCTACTAAAGTAAATTAGTAATGAATCAGCCTCATGCATGAATCATACATCAATAATATCCTAGTTTTACACATGATCCATGACAGTGAAGGTACAGAAAAATACAAGGCAAAAATAGCTCAGTGTCAATATTTCATGACCACCCTGAAATTTCACAAATCATGCATTCAAGGAAGCTGATGACTTATTAAGAGGAGCTGCTCCACTGTAGTTGACATGCAGGACACATCTTCTGAAGACCCTCAGAGGACCGATAAAGGAACATTTTCCAAATGAGCCACTTTAAATTGCCTCCATTTGCTTTAGCGACTAAAACTCGTGGTGCATTCAGGCAGCCATCATCAATTAATAAAGTGAAAGATTTTGAAGCTAGCGTGCAGAAAGTTGCCTGTAATCATTGACAAAGTTTTAAATACACGAGATAAACTAAAACTAGCTTTATAAATAGAAGAGTCTAGGATGCAACAAAGCAGATCATAGACTTCAGTGTTAAGAATGTGTGCACTTTTTCCCCCTCATTGTGCCTGAGTTTTGTGTTTTGGTTTCCATATTTATAAAAATTTCCACCATAAATGTGCAGAAAAGGCTGATTCACGAGAATGAATGCAGAAAATTAGGTGTTTGATGCTCAGACTTTTCCTGGCATCCAGACGCTTATATACTAATGTAACTTCCGTTCTCTCACAAGTGATTGTAACAGCCTCCATGTAATGATTAACAACATATCTCGGCAGATAAAAAGAACAAACACAGGTGTTAATGTCTGACTTTTGTTGTTAACACTTCGCTGTGACTTTCCACTTTAACTTATACAGACTTTTTTTTATATATATAACAACTGGATATTGTGGTGGCTTTACAATCGCAGGTTGGTGCTCAGTGTTACTTTACGGTAGATGATGTTAAGTTCAGCTTAAAAATTGTGACATTTCTTCAACATCCATGGTGTTGTTCTGAGTTTGCACATATCGCCCTACTTCTGTTTTGGTTCTGATTTTCATCTTTTACTTCTCGAGTCAGACGAGTGACACACACATTTGCCAGTTCAGTCATATCTTCACAGATGAGATAATAATCCAAATCCTCTTTCTTCTGTATATTTGATTGCGCAGGACTAATTACCCTGCTCGTCTTTATCTCATACGCCTAATGGACCTAAAACGTCCTCCGACAAAATGTTTCACTCCTCTGCTGTTTTGAGTTGGAGCTGGTGGGACAGCTTCTTCTGTCTTAACAAGGAATGATTTCCTTTTTTAACACATTGTTTTATGTAATGTGAACTTGACAGGTCGTTTTCTAAAATATGAATGGGTTTCTGACTGCACGGAGCAGGCACCATGACTCTAGCAGATATGAGCTGCACATAATGATATAAAGTATTTATAAATTTAACTGTCTCTGATAATGAAATAATAAAAAATTCATACTCTAATAATGTAATTGGTAGTTAAATAATTTAAGGTGACATAGCTCTCTTTATTTCAATATGCATGCTCTGAGAAAAGGGATTTAAAGTTGATTGCATTATCCCTTTACATTTTATGACCCATATTCCATGGAGTGTCTGCAGGAAAGTGAAATTTATTTATGTTCTTCAGTGCGTTGGTTTTAGTTTTTACATTTGTAATCCATCCCATGAGATCCTCGGTGCCCTC